CTGACCCCCGACAGAAACTGGAGTGTAAAACAAATCACTAGCCACTTCAACTCTGTGAGAACCAACAACAACCACTGTATTGTCACTGGGAAGATTACTACAGCAATTTACATAAATCGACTGCACATCTTCACTGACAGCGAGGGTTTCACCAATGCTGCCCATGCTACCCCTCTCTTCACATAGGCGCACTAGTTTAAATCAGCCGAAGAAGGAGAAGGGGGCAATGCAGCTGAGGAAAGCCGTGGACACACCTGCCTAATATGGCCAGGGCTGAAGCAGTTGAGGCACAATCTATACAGCTTGCAGTGAGCATGGGTTGAATGATCATTACAGCCGCAAACTCTGCATTTAGAGGGTACAGAGCACTGCTGACTGTGGGGATGGTTGAGCTGTCTCTGAGACGGCTGACGGCCAACAGGCTGAAAGTTACCAACCCTCCGATTGGTTGCAAGTGAAGTATTGCAAAGAGACAAAACTTTGTCAAACATTGCCACAACCTGTTGAACGCCAGACTCTGTGTCTGGCTGGGTGATGACAGGAGAAGGAAGAGCAGAGGGGACTGCAGAAGGAGGCAGAGGGGTGGGAAACACCCTAGGATTAGAAGGATGAAGAGGATCAGTCACTGGACTCTGACTGTAAGCAGACAAATCAACTGCCCGATTGTTCTGAGCTGCTGCCCTTCTCACATGTCTTGCGTGACCATCCAGACGCTCCTGAACCTCAGCTGCAGTCCACTGTTCTGGGGCCTTCAGCTGAAAGGACATGGAAAGACTGGGATCAGACTTACCCCTTCTTTGGAAGCACTCATCAGCAACATCAATGGACTTGTTAAGGCAGATCCAGTAATCCCTAGCACTCTCATTAGCATGGGAAATGGTAGCATAGAAATCTTTCATGGGCAAGTTGGAATATGACAGCTCACTAAAGTTGCACTTCAATATGTCAAAGACAGCAAAAGGCAGATCTGATTCATTCAGTCCATCACGACTGCGGAGGGACACCTTAACCACATCTCTGGCTCTGCCTGTCAGTCTTGACATTATTAAATCATGCATTTCAGCCGACATATCACATTTTACTCTTTTAGGTAACATGTCATCATATCCTCCCACTCGGGAACAGAAAACATATTAGTGCTTAAGTACTGAAGTAAGGCGGCGCTTTCACGTCTGACTGCACGAGGACCTTGAGCTGCGACAAACTGGTATCACTAGATTGATGACATCGGGCCCGGTCCGCATTGGTCTGCTGCACCGTGCTAAGGTTGGCTGAAATAGTGTCTCCAATTTTCTTGGCTAAATCTGTGAATAAAGACCCAAGAGCCTCAACAGGCACAACTTGTGCAGGCTCAGGGGCAGACTGGGTAAAGCTGGCAGTGGGAGCTTATAAATGATTAAAAGCTGACTCATCAGCTGTGCAGTTGAGATCACCAGGTGACATGGATCTACCCCTACCAAAACACAGTGAAGCATTCTGCTGGCCCCTCCCCATCCCTAATCTGACATCATGCCCACGACCAATATAGGTATTTACTTGTGTGTCTTAAGTGTCCATTCCTGCCATCGTGGCTAATTAAGGGTGTATGCAGAGGAGGAAAACAAATAACAATTATAGAAAATACAATAATAGCACTTAAAAATACAGAAAATGCACTTCTTTAAACCGTCCCCGAACGACACTTACATATACGTCACGTAGCTACACTGTAATTACACATGAATCAACAGGCCCGACAAACCAACAGACCTGATGCGCATGCGCCAAAAGCTGGGCGCGAAGAAGCCAGGTCCGCAGCGTGTGAGCGTAGCTCCTCGCCGCCACCATCGAAGATCTGGAGAGCAGCGAGTCAGGACCGCAGCTAGCGAGCGTAGCTCTTCGCCAGCACCGTGGAAGAGGGGAGAAGGCGAAGCGTGTGCAGCAGCAGTACCCCGGGTGACCAGTTGACGCTGATCGGAGATCCGACGGGTCACGGCACCAAGTGTAAGGGCGGGCATGCACTACGATTTTTTAAAAATGTCGTTGATACCGTCACACACTGTACGAGTGATACACGGACAAAGCTCACGATTTATGTACTCACACTGTACGGTCCGATCATCGAACACGACCAGAGAGCTCACACTGTGCGGGTGAAAACGGCCCGTCGGGCCCTGCTGACTGTCCTGTCTATTGACATCTGTCAATAAAGATTTATTTGAAAGCTCCGACGGTAATTAGCAACATGCTATTCAAAAAGAAGAAGGCTGCCATTATGATTTGATTCCGGCGCATCTGGAGTCGGAAATGGCTCAATAAACGTGGACAGTACGTTTATTGTTTAGTGGTTGCTTGGTTAATATAACCAGTCATTTTCTTATGCTGTTTTGTATTGTTTTATATATTGTACATACTGAATGTATATATGTTTTAATATAGTTTTTTATGATTGATCGGTGTTGTATTTAGCTAGGAGCGAATAAATTAACGAATAAATAAACAAATCCTTGTCACTGATTACTTCCTTTTATTGATCAAAATGGCTTAACAGAGAAAGTTCACCTTATCGTATATTTTCCTCATTGTTCTTCGTGCAGGCGGCTATGTATAAAGCACTGTTTAGAATCCATTTGGCCCACTTTAGAAGACTTTTGGGAAAATTCCTCTCTTTCGGTGACGTTAAGTAGAACCAAGGCAGCCGTGTTGGCGGAAGTGTTGACATCAATCAGCTACTCGATTGGTGTAGCACGATCACGTGTCGAACCGTGCCACCACTCGCGCACCAAAATCTTATTGGACCCCTAGCGATCTCAATCCACAACTGTTACAGCGCTACGTATTCCCAAGGATGGCGAAAAGAAAGGCAGAAAACAGGAGCTTTCTGGAGAGGTGGGAGGCAGAATATCTCTTTGCATATATAAAAGACAGACCCGTTTGCCTTGTTTGTGGAGTCAACTTGGCTATAGCTAAGGAGTACAATATTAGACGACACTATGAAACCAAACACCATGACAAGTACAAGGACCTGGACATGACTCAAAGGAGCCAGAAAGTAGAGGAGTTGAAAAAAAGTGTAGTTTCACAGCAAAATATGTTCAAGAAAGCCACTTCGCAAAGTGAAGCTGCTGTAAAGGCGAGTTATATTGTTGCAGCAGAGATCGCAAAATCCGCCCAGCCCTTCAATGAAGGAGAATTTGTGAAAAATGGCATGATGAAAGTTTGTGAGATCGTGTGCCCAGAGAAAAAGCAGACATTTTCAAACGTAAGCCTGAGCAGAAACACAGTGGCTGAACGCACATGCGATCTTGCCACCAATCTTTATGAGTTGCTGATGGAAAAGGGAAAAGATTTCGTTGCATTCTCCCTCGCTGTGGATGAGAGCTGCGACGCATCTGACACTGCTCAGCTGTCAATCTTCATCCGTGGAGTGGACTCAAATCTGTGCGTTACAGAGGAGCTACTGGGATTAAAATCAATGCATGGCACAACCACAGGAAAGGACATTTTTGAGGAAGTTTCCAAATGTATGACTGAAATAAAACTGCCGTGGGATAAACTCGTGGGATTAGCGGATTAATGGCATGGGTCCTGGAGAAGATGCAGGAAGAGAACTGTGAGGGTGAGCTGACTGTTTATCACTGCATTATACATCAGGAATCACTGTGTGGCAAAGCCTTAAATCTGGAGCAGGTTATGACCACAGTAACAAAAGTGGTGAACTTTATAAGAGCTAAAGGTTTAAATCACCGCCAGTTTAAGTCTTTTCTTGAGGAGTGTGGTTCAGAACACGCAGACGTACCGTATCACACAGAGGTGAGATGGTTAAGCCGAGGGAAAGTATTGAACAGATGTTTCGAGCTGCGTGAGGAAATATTTCAGTTTCTGGAAAGCAAGGGGAAGAACACAGCAGAGCTCCGGGAGCAAAGGTTTCTGTGCGAGTTGGCATTTCTGTGTGACATCTCGAGCCACCTCGATGCGCTGAACCTGCAGCTTCAGGGGCGCATCATCACGGAGATGTACGCTGCAGTCCGGACTTTCAAAACTAAACTTTGCCTGTGGGAAAATCAGATGATGCATGGAGACCTTGGCCATTTTTCCTGCTGCCAAACCATAAAAACGCAGATCTCTCCCACCGCGTTCCCAAGCGCACAGTTTTGTGAAAAACTCGATGTACTCTGCGCTGAGTTTAGGCGGCGATTTGCCGACTTTGATGTGCAGAAATGTAGATTTCAACTGCTCAGCAATCCTTTTGCAGTTGATGTGGAAAACGCACCGACAAACCTCCAAATGGAGCTGATTGAACTCCAGTGTAGTGACACAGCATCATATTTTGATGCTGTGGGAGCCGCACAGTTTCCACAGTTCATCCCTCACACAATGCCTCAGCTCCGCATCCAAGCTGCTCAGATGCTCTCCATGTTCGGCAGCACTTATATATGTGAGCAACTTTTTTCCACAATGAAGATGACCAAAACATCTCACAGGAGACGCCTGACGGATGAACACCTTTGCTCGATACTGAGGATTTCCTCAGCTCAGAGCCTGTGCCCCGACATTGATAAACTTGCATCCAAGAAGAGGTGCCAGGTGTCGGGCACATCAGGTTAGATAAGTGTAGCAAACTGAGCAAAAATTAAAAGTGAAGTTAATTATAAGTTTCCTTTAAGCACTTTAATTGTTATTCCAAGGCATGGTTCTGAATGGTTGATTGATTTATTATTGTTAATTTATTTTTAAAATTATTAGCCTGTGGAAAAAGTTTATTTTGATATTAAAATTAGAAGTTAAGTTAAATATTGTGTGGTAATATGTGTTGCTTGTTCCATATTCAATGTTAAAGCAAAACTTGTTTGAGTTCATATTACAATGTTTATGTTGGCCCGTGACTTTGTTCAGATTTTGAATTTTGAATTTTGGCCCCCGGTGTATTTGAGTTTGACACCCCTGCTCTAAACGGATCATTCTCTGTGAACTAATCTTTCGCCTCGTTCTCGCAGATTCGTTTTATTTGTCACGTGAAAGAGCTCGGGTCTTTTTTGCTCTCATTCATCTTCACATTGTGGTGTGTTTTTATTTCTTAGCTTTTTACATGGTTTTAATTACTTATGGCATTTTGTGTACTTTGTAGACTTTGTCAGCGGAAGCAAACCATGTTGCCTTATTTAGTGTCGGAGAACCGCAGCCTTCTTTACAACGCCCACAATAGGGCTAAAGCGCCACTTGCTGTAAAACGAATGAAATGATTAGTTCGAGATTCGTTCACGACTCGTTCATTTTACAAAGATTCGAATCAATAAAAAGAGTCGGTCTTCCCATCACTACTTTCAGCATATCATTAGTTGGTTTACACTTACTGTATATACATGTGTGGGGGGAGTGGTTTTTGACTTCCCGGGTGTGTGTTTAAATGTTGTAGGCCAATGGAAGAGAGAGGTTAGGCCTCTCGTGGCCAATCATATTATTGTTATTGTATCATGTTGTGCCTGCAGTCACCACGATTTGGCGCTGCTGCTCCATGATTCAGCAGTGTTGGAGGACAGTTTTATGAACCTGTTGTCACTGAGCAAGGTGTTATTACAAAGGAAGTGGACGGAGCCTTGTGGTCCGGCCAACAACATGGGGTTATGTAAATCAAAGGAGTGGATGGATCCGGGGTTCCCTGTAAGGATGTGGATTGGGAGTTTTCCCATTGTTCCCAGGTAGTAGAGGTGTTTTGGAGTAATCTGGAGAGTTGGTGTAAAGAGAATTTAGGAGAAATCCTCTTTGAATGTGTGGGGCTATGTGAGTGTGTGTGCTTGGGAAGGCATTTGGTGTCTTAGCATCTTCCTACTTTCAGACCCAAACCAAATGTGAAAACCACTGAAATCTAACAATCATACATGTTCCTGTATTTTTAAAAATGCCTCAATTGTTTACAATGTATCAGATATATTTCTTCTGTTTTCCCCGAGGCTGGAACAGTGACCTGTCAAGCATTCTATTGCTGGTTCACCTGGTTCCCCTTACCTCCAAAGGCCACAAGAACAGTGCTAAAATCAGCTCATGTCAAGCTGTGTGCCATGTTGTGAGATGTTTGCAGGTATGCAAATAGTAGTGTATTTATTCTGATGACCCTTTTTGTGTTGAAGCACTTTTTTTAATTGGCATTAAAAAAAAGTGCTTCAACACTTTTTTAATGCCAATGTAGTGGCACTACATTTCATGATGTTCTCATGATTCTTCTTTATATTTTGTTAAAGATGGGTGCCAGTGTTCAAACCTTCCTTGCGGGCGTGGAGCTAGGACAGCCCTTCCTTCTATGTGTTGGTGAAAATAGGAAAATGTCATCATTGACCAGAAGGCCATCACTTGTAAGACGCAGACATCCCTGGCTGCTTTTGATGAGCTTTTCAAAGCACATTTCATCTTCAGTGTCAACTACCATGAATCCTTCTACAACTTCTATACGTTCATTTAAACCACTGTTTTCAACATTGATGTGGGAAGTGCCAAGGAAAGTCCCTGAGTCAAGGAACCAAGAGCAAGATTTTTGCACGACGCTTGAAGTGAAAAATATCCGTGGATATGACTATTTTTCATTGTTACATTTGTAAGGCACAGCACAAAAGTTCTGCATTGCTTTGCCAGCATCTTGTTCATTTCCATAAAGATGTTGCTTCGACAAATGCATCTGACAATGTGGACACTCAGAATGAAGTTGGTGAGTCCTCGACTTCACAGGCAGTCAGTGCGGCCTCTCCAATAACTGCCCAGGTCTCTGTTGACAATAGTCATGTGTTAAACAAGTGTGCTTCTGTTGTAGCACAGTTGCAAGCATCTGGTGTTGCTGAGAGCACAGTCCAAGCAATAGTGGGTTCCATGGAGCATCACGAAGAAGGCAATTTAAAAGACGTGACCCTTCATACTTCAAGAGTAACATTTTGTTTTCCCAGAAAAAAACATGCTCTACAGATTCAACTTTATTTTGATGTGTTTGAGATGATAAATCCTTTGGGTTCAAAGAAAGGGCTTTACAAACTTTGTTGTATTTACTTTATATTGCACAACCTGTCCCCAAAATATAATTCTGTGTTGATGAATATACATGTTGTGTCACTCTTTCACTCACAAGACCTGAAGACTTATGGATTTGATTACATCCATAAGCCTCTTGTTGATGATCTCAAAATACTTGAAACACAAGGTATTGAGGTTCCCTTCTCAGACTCACCATTGCTTGGTTCTATCATACAAGTGACAGGTGATAATTTAGGTTTACATGGACTGTTTGGCTTTGTTGAGTCTTGTAGTTCTACATATTTCTGTAGATTTTGTTTGACAACTAAGGGTAAGTCAGTCTGTTTTTACTGAAGATGATCCTGGCATGGTTTTTTGTACAAAAGAAACCCATGCAGAACATTGTGCAGCTCAACAGGGAAATCCTATGTCAGGCTCAACATTTGATATCAAAAAGACATGCTTGCTCAATACATTGCAGTTTTTCCACACCTCTGACAACTATGCTGTTGACATTATGCATGATTTACTGGAAGGTATAGTGCAATATGAACTCAAACTTGTCTTTCAATACCTTGTCAACCAGAAATATCTGTCTTTGCAATCGTTGTCACAGAGGATCCAAAGTTTCAACTATGGTTATATTGAGAGAAAAAAATAGGCCAAGTGAGTTGAAAATGGATGACACTACCAAAGATCTTGGACTTAATGCATTTCAGTCGTGGTGTCTTGTGGGAAATGCGCCTCTTATTTTTGGTGATGTATTGGAAAGAAATAACTGTTACTGGAATCTGCTCCTCCTCTTGATTCAGATTGTGAATATTGTGTTTTCACCCATTGTAACTAACGGCATGACACATTATTAGCACCTGATTTATGATCACCACAAGCTATTTAAATCTTTGTTTTCACAGAAAAGACTGATCCCAAAGCATCATTTTATGCTACATTTTCCATGCTGTATCTGAAAAATAGGTCCACTCCATGTGTGGTGTATGTAGGTTTGAGGCAAAACACAATTTGTTTAAAAGATCAATGAAAATTTTCAAAAATTTCACAAAAGCATTGGTCAAACAACATCATAGACAGCTAGCTTGCCATTGGGAGAATTTTGATTTGAGTTTGGTCCAGTTAAACAAGACATTATTGATAGCTTGGATGGAGGTGATGTTTTAAGTTCTGTTTTTGATGCATGCTGTGAAGTGTCAACCACTAATTGGGTTAAGAACTATGGCACTGAATATCACATTGGAATGTTTATTTGTACTGGAACAAATACAAACATTCCAATTTTCAGAAAGGTTACAGACATTATTATACATGATGAGCAAGCATTCTTTTTGACTTGCAGAGTGGACACTTTATTTTGATGATCATTTCAATGCATACTGTATCGAGGAGAGAAGATTCATTTTTTTCCGTTTTTGCACTTCAGGAGTTGAGCTATTACAGACCATATGACAAACAGTTTTCAAATGAGATGTGTGACAAAATATACATTGTGCCACATTGTCATATTTTCTGTCTTTGTTGTGGCAAAGCCTGTTTTTATGTGGTGTGTTTTGTAAAATGTTTTTATATTGAGTTATAATTAACACTTTCCATAGTGTCAATATAACTTGAAAAGTGTCCTGACAGTGTTAATTTTTGTCACTACACACTAGTGTTAGGTGAATTCAACACTCGTGTTAAATTTCAACTACTCACAGTGTTCTTTCAACTGTCTTGTTTAACTCTTTCAAAAGTGTTGTTTTAACTCAATTTAGAGTGGACCAATATAGACACTTTGAAAGTGTTGAATTCAACTCCCTAGAAGTTGAATTAACACTTCCAAATTTGCTGTGTATCAACGACAAGTTTTTCAAAAATTGTACAGTGTATGCCCGGCCTAAATACACGCTCCCGTCTTATTGCCGCATTTGCAAGGTCTTCCAACAAGGCTAATGCTGCCTTTTAATACCATTTTCTTCACCACTTTGCACGTGCTTTTATAGCCACCAATTGAAAACACGCGTGTGCTGTAATTGTTCATTAGTGTCTCTCAGTGTCTCTATGTGCACATCACTGACTTTTTTTACATTATCAGCAGTTTCCCAGCATCACCTCTATGTGTCGCCAAAGACACGCGTCATGTACAAAGACTTGCCTAGATTTCATCATGAAACAGGGCATAAGTACAAATCAGTGTTGTTTGTACATCCAATCAACGGAATTGAGTGCACATGTGGGATTTCCATGCCACGCCCCTACATACATATGCAAATATATTTAAATGAACGATCTGCAGGCAAATTCATCATGAGGACGTGAAAACATTATTACATTACATCATTACTGAAGCCGAACTATAGGTCCTACTCAGTGCTCAGGTGGAGAAGCGGCGAGGTGTGTTATTTGGTCACTTGTCCGCAGGTGTAAATATGAAAAGAAAAAAGTGGGTGTGAGGCCATAAACGCCATTGGTCGAGGCACCGCACACACAAAGCCAAAAAATAGTCTGAGATCACATATCACATCAAATATAATTTGACACACACTGATCGAATGGAGAGTAAATCTCGCGTTCCCTATATAGATGCTCCCGTCTTATTGCGAGATGTTCTAATAACACTATCGCTGTGATTGTTAATAACAGTTCTTCAACAGGTG